GGACCCTGTACAGGGTTTCCGAGGCTGTAAATCTTTACGGGAGCAGAAAGCCTCATCTTTCTCCCATGGAACCTCTGGTAGTTTCGAACTGCTGACCTTGCTGTTCGAAGCCCGATTCATAACCACTACGCTACCAGAGGTTCTGCGGGAGAAAGATGAGGCTTTCTGCTCCCGTAAAGATTTACAGCCTCGGAAACCCTGAACAGGGTCGCTATGGGTCGGAACCGACTCGACAGCACTTAACAACAACGCTACCAGAGCTCCTCTGATAAAGTAGAGTGTCAGTGAAAAACAGAAAGACCCTCAACACCACCAAACACGAAAAGAAACCCCACCGTGCTGTACCCCAGTCCCCACATAGAACCCCACCCACCAGGCAAGCAGCCTCAAACCAGGGGGAAGGCCCCTCCAGCACAATGCCCCACCCGACTGACACGCTGCCCTTGTCCCAGGGAAGGATGCCTCTTCCCTATAGCTCCGCCCACAGACGGTACGTCCCACCCTGCTATGCCACACCCATCTTTCACGACGCCACACCGTCTGGTACAAAGCCACACCCCCTCCTTCTCCTACAAAGCCTGTGCCCGCATGCTCCAACAACTAACAACCGTCCACTTGTAACGGTTGTGGCGCGCGCAGCATCCCCATTGGTGGACAGGCAGCGGGAGGCGGGAGCAGGCGCGACACTGAACTGTCATTGGTCTGGAGCTGCGGAACCCCAGGGGCCACGTGTACGACTGGAGCGGCTACGCCGGCGCGACGCGCTGAGGTAGAGAGCCTGAGAGCGTGGTTTGGTGGCAGCATGTTACGCCTCGCGGCTAAGATGCTGGCCTTTTTCTGGAGGCGGGCAGACGTCCCCGTGGAGGCCGGCCGGGAGCTCGCGGAAGGTGCGCATGTCGGTGCACGGGAACATGGGCTCGCTCGTCTGCGCGAGCCTCTTCCTGGGCGGGGCGCGAGGGTCTGTCTGCCCCGTGATGTGGGGGTCCTCATCCCCTGAGAGTGGGGACGCGGGGGTCCTCATCCCCTGAGAGTGGGGACGCGGGGGTCCTCATCCCCTGAGTGTGGGGACGTGGGGGGTCCTCACCCCGTGAGTGTGGGCACGTGGTAGGGTCCTCACCCCGTGAGTGTGGGGACGTGGTAGGGTCCTCACCCCCTGAGTGTGGGCACGTGGAAGGGTCCTCACCCCCGAGAGTGTGGGGACGTGGGGGGGG